TTTTGGTTTTATATTGTCGTAATTCAAAGAGATAAATTAGAGTGTAGACTCCATTTTATAGAGATTTGTACATAGCTTGAGCAATCAGAAATTCATCATTAAAGATTTTTTCAAAGAAATTGGTAAATATATATTTTTGACATGTGTTGTTCAACCTAGTGTTTGTGTTATTTAGCCTTCTTGAAATTTCTTAGCAGTGAGAGTGAATTAATTACAAACTCGACTAGCCCCTAAGACGTATGAACTTGATTCATTACGAGTGAGAGATTTTAAGACTGATCGACTATTTCTGAATTATGTCGTAGATTAGTCCAGACAAAAAAGTAAAAAATCTACAACCTGATTGACAAGTACAACTGAAATTGTCTTAATTAATTTTTGTTAATTAAATTCTAGTATGTTTATTTGATCTAAAACAATAACAATAACATACCCAATATATTCCCAACTGGTTTGAGGTCTGGGGGGTCAGTTGTACGCAGACCTTACCCTTGTAGTTATACAAGAGGGTTGTTTCTGTAGCGACCCAAGGTGCATTGCGTCGTTTGATATATTTTTTTTTTTTCTAGAAACTTCACTAATAGAAGAAGCACTAGAATTTAATTGAGTCATTTTGATCTAGTTCATTATTAGTACTATGAAAGGAGAATTGTCAACAATGACTTTTTCAGCTCCATTTGCAATGGACAAAAGTATATTTATTTGATCTAATTAAATTAATTTATTTGATAGGTTAATTCGTATTGTTTTGACTTTCGTCGTGATTACGACAACTACAGATCGAGCGTTTTCCGCTTGAAACTTGTTAAGATGGTTCTATGCATTAAGATGGAAGTGGAATTTGTTGTCGACTCAATGGTTATTTAAATTAAAATGGAATTGATCAAAAAGATCAGTAATGATACAATAAACGCCAAGTTCGAACCTAAAAAGAATTGGAGATAGCAATTTAATTAGCCCCAGGTATTTTCAAATCCTAGCTTCGCCCTTGATTTTAACTAACTATCACTTCACATAATCTCTATCCTACGTTTATATCTAATAAACTTTAATTATTTTATTTTAAATATTATTTTAATATAAATTCAAAATCTCCGTAACAACTACTCATACGTTAAAATTAACTATGGTTAACCAAGAAAACTCAGCCCCCAGGACGTGAGGGCACTTGGTTGTTGGTGGAGAGATAAAGTATTATTGAAGCCAGAGGTTAAGGTTCGATCTTGATTATCGTGAGAGTAGGGGATGAGGCACTCCTACTATCCTGGGTGGATTAGTCCCACCTCTCTTGGTGTGGAGCCCGTAGCTGTTAAGGGCCACAAACCGGTTAGGCAACAACAACACGGTGAGCTCGGAGTGGCTTGGGAGTGCATGGTGAAACCTCGAATGAATGTGGGGATACCACACATTCGACAAAAAAGAAAAAAAAAACTCATTTTGAACGAATTAGTTTGTAAACAAGCACGTTCAATCACTTTTACACATCACGTCAACTTTAATTCACTATTCATCGAACTCACATAATTGTAACTAACTATCACTCCACACCATATTTCTCATACTTTTAATTAAATCAATTTTATTTCAACTACTATTTCAATATAAAAACAAAATCTCACTAACAACTAACCATCCAACTCTTTCAAAATTAACCATGATTATAAATAAGCTCATTTTGAACGAATTTATCTGTAAATATTAAGAACTGATTGAGATTTTGAAAAAGAAAATAGAAAATTATGAAAAAATAACCTTCATTTTAATAAAAAAATTCAATCAAAATTAATTTTATTTATATCCAACTTTAATTCAAAATTAACCTTCATTTTACACATCACGTCAACTTTAATTCACTATTCATCGAACTCACATAATTGTAACTAACTATCACTTCAAACCATATTTCTCATACTTTTAATTAAATCAATTTTATTTCAACTACTATTTCAATATAAAAACAAAATCTCACTAACAACTAACCATCCAACTCTTTCAAAATTAACCATGATTATAAATAAGCTCATTTTGAACGAATTTATCTGTAAATATTAAGAACTGATTGAGATTTTGAAAAAGAAAATAGAAAATTATGAACAAATAACCTTCATTTTAATAAAAAAATTCAATCAAAATTAATTTTATTTATATCCAACTGTAATTCAAAATTAACCTTCATTTTACACATCACGTCAACTTTAATTCACTATTCATCGAACTCACATAATTGTAACTAACTATCACTTCACACCATATTTCTCATACTTTTAATTAAATCAATTTTATTTCAACTACTATTTCAATATAAAAACAAAATCTCACTAACAACTAACCATCCAACTCTTTCAAAATTAACCATGATTATAAATAAACTCATTTTGAACGAATTTATCTGTAAATATTAAGAATTGATTGAGATTTTGAAAAAGAAAATAGAAAATTATGAACAAATATACTTCATTTTAATAAAAAAAATTCAATCAAAAATAATTTTATTTATATCCAACGGTGCCATTAAAAGTCATATTTAGACGTGACCAAATACCAGGCATGCGTACTTCAAATGTTGGGCCCGAAAATAGTCCGGCAATTTCTATGGGCCGGTTCATTTACCTAGCCGCGGGTTTAAAAAAATAAACTCGAAACCGGCCTTTAAAGTTATCCGGGCCGGTTTGTAACTGGCCGGCTTATCCGGGCCGATTCGATTTGATTCGGCAGGAAGGGTTGGCCCGTGGCCATGTCTAGTCATATTATTATTTCCTTTCAAACCAAACAGAGCTTAAAAGACCAATCTTCCTGGATGAAACTTGAGAGGCACAATGGAATCTCCAAATTACGAAACTACCCCTTCATTATTGTCACATCTGCCAATAAAACAAGGGGTAAACATGTCATCGCGCACATCCCCACCAGCTACCTCAATCATCATCAGGCAGCCCAAAAGCTTTCATCTCAACAGCTCTCTCAGCAAACAAGAAACTCTTTCATCCTTAGTTTTATTTCTTCGTCTTGTCTCTGCAAGTTAATCATCTGCAGAATAAAGGTATGAAATTTCGTCCTCTTTTATCTCCGATTTTTTTTCCCCTTAATTATAGTTCATGAAGTAGTAGTCCCTTTTCCGCTCGCGGGCTTTTGAGCTCAAGTTAATGGTGGACCTCAGAGTAATATCAGTAATTTATGTTTCTTTTGCGTTCTTGTGGGTATTCATGTCTTCACAATTTAGAAAGGTTTTATCAGGTCTGACAAATAATTCCGAGATCATGTAGAATTTGGTTATTCCCATTGATCAATATTCAACCTTGGGATTCAATTTAGCTTTCCAAGTTGAACTGAGGGCCCCAGCTAGTAATTCTTATGATTGCTATCGTTATCGAGTATTTGGTTCGGATGTTGGTATGAATCGGTTATCTTGTAGTAAAATTGTTAATGGTAATAGTGCTTGAACATCATAAGGAAATATGAATATCTTACTTGATTTATATTTTCTTGGATTATGATTAGTTTCAAGGGTGGTGGTGGTGGATATTTTAAACAAATTGAATGTTTGAATTATGTGGATTCTGAGTTTTAAATTGGAATGGGTCAGCTGTTTAATCGAGACGAATGATCATTCACCTGTATAACAAGTGAACCACTAACCAGATGTGTGTTCTGGACAAAAAATGTCAAATACTTTTTATGTACTTAGTTAATACTAGTCACTAAGCCATAGCAGTTTTATTTACGGATATTGATGTGTTTTGTGGCCTCGTATTCTTCGTCTATGGTGATACTGAGTTTTATGGTGTTAGGACAAACAAGTCAGCTAGGCCTACGGTGAATTTGAATTCTATAAGAGTGTCTTTCCCCTCGCGTGATAGTAAATTTAACTTATGGGCGATGGTCCTCGAGGCATACAAGTATTTCCTGATTATTTTGTAGCATCAACTTCTGGTTCGGATTCTCCTCCAAGCCAGGCATCTTCAGCCTCGGATTTGAGGTCTTTGTTCTTTAAAGAACTCTGGTAATATATAATGAATTTATGTGATTTGAAATTTGATTGTTATGAAATTTGTTTGCTTTAGCTTAGGTCTCCTAGCCGTTCGTCTGCTCGAAGGAGATTTAGAAGAGCCACAACCATGTTGAATTTATTTAGTCTAAAGGGGCTATCATGGAAATTAATCGGAAATGATCAGGAAAAGGTAGGTATAATAGTGTTTTCGTATGCAAACTGGTTAAGAATGTGATTTTCAAGTTTGTGGGAGCTTGAATTCTTGTGATTTGCAGGTTGTGTTAAGTGCTGTGGAGGTGGAATCTCTTCGTTCGGAAATAGCTGCTTTAGAAGAAAGAGAATCTCACTTTAAAGCTCAGTAAGCATGGCTTGGAATAATACCCTCTCTCCCCGTCAATCAAACATAACCTTACGTTCAGATGAAAAGCTAAAGTAAACAGTTAAAGCAACAATTATGTAATGCTATTAAGCTTGAATGTTATATTTCACTATGAAGATTACAAGATATATATACAAGCCAAAGAGATGAAAGAAAGGAAAGAAATCAAACGACCTAATCTACGGGATTTACCAAATCACCTAATTGATACATCTAATCTATACCATGTTTACATTAACACTCCCCCTCAAGCTGCAGCATATATGTCGATTATGCCCAGCTTGTTACAAATATTTTTCATTCTTACACCATTTACTGCTTTCGTAAATATGTCTCCCAATTGATCCTCAGACTTGACATATCTTGTAGTGACAAAACCTTCTTCGACCTTATCACGAACAAAGTGGCAGTCTATCTCTATGTGTTTGGTCCGTTCATGAAATACAGGATTTGATGCAATGTGGTTTGCTGCTTGGTTGTCACACCAAAGTGTTGCTGGGAGAGCAACTTCTAATCCAAGCTCCTTTAGTAACTGATGGATCCATACAACTTCACATATTGAATCAGCCATCGACCTATACTCTGCTTCAGCAACTGAACGAGAAACCACATTTTGCTTCTTGCTTCTCCACGAAACTAGATTGCCTCCCACAAATATACAATATCCAGAAGTCGATCTTCTATCATCTTTGCAACCTGCATAGTCGGCATCACAATATGCTTCAACTGTTCTAGCCTTTTGATAACTGTGACGCCCATAGAACAATCCCCGTCCAGGAGCACCCTTCAAGTAGCACAAAATTTGTTCAAGAAGTGCCCAATGACTGATGGTCGGAGAAGACATAAATCGACTTGCTACACCAACTGCAAAGGATATGTCAGGGCGCGTTACAGTGAGATAATTTAGCTTCCCTACAAGTCTTCGATATCGTTCTGGATCATGAAATGGCTCGCCATCATCCTTTCCTAACTGCAAGTTTGGTGTCATCGGAGTGCTGCATGGTTTTGCCCCAACTTTTCCAGTTTCTTTAAGAAGATCTAGCACATATTTCCTTTGACAAAGGAAAATCCCTCTCTTATTTCTCATTATCTCAACTCCCAGAAAATATTTCAAGTGTCCCAAGTCCTTTGTTTGAAAATTCTCATGGAGGAAGGATTTTAGGTTTGAAATCCCATCATTATCATCCCCTGTAATAACAATATCATCGACATACACCACCAACAAAATGATTCCAAGGCTTGATCGCCTATAGAATACCGAGTGATCAGATTTACATCTCACCAACCCATATTTCAGAACAATCTGGCTAAATCTGTCGAACCAAGCTCGGGGACTTTGCTTTAACCCATATAGAGACTTATGAAGACGACATACCTTTCCATACTCCCCCTGAGCAACAAAACCAGGTGGTTGCTCCATATAAACCTCTTCTTGAAGAAAGCCATGGAGAAACGCATTCTTAATATCAAGTTGGTGTAGAGGCCAATCAAAAGAGGCAGCAAGAGAAATGAGCAACCGTACAGAAGTAAGTTTGGCCACAGGAGAGAAAGTCTCAGAGTAATCGGTGCCATAAGTCTGAGCATAGCCTTTAGCTACAAGCCGAGCTTTAAGACGTGCCAAAGAGCCATCAGGATTAACTTTAACAGTGAAGACCCACTTACATCCAATAGCCTTTTTTCCAATAGGTAAGTCCACTAAAGACCATGTGCCATTATGATCAAGAGCGTTCATTTCCTCAATCATAGCAGCACGCCATCCAGGATGAGCCAAAGCAGTGCCAACAGATGTAGGAATAAGGATAGAGTCTAGCTTGGCAATAAAAGAACTTGAAGAAGAAGACAGGTTGTCATAAGACACAACAGAAGCAATAGGGTATGTGCAAGATCTTTTACCTTTGCGAAGCGCAATAGGAAGGTCATCAGGGTCATTTGGTTGAGGGACATGTGTGGAGGTTGGACTCAAAGGGTCTTCCACCGAAGCAGCAGGCAATGGACGTGAATCAGAGTCCATGATGACCTTGTGATGTGATGTGATTGAGAACGTCGAGTATATGTCTGTGTAATGGGTGGCCGAGGTCTCTGAGGTGGAGGGGAAGGAGGGCTAGTGAGAGTAACAGAATATACCAAAAAATCGT